GCAATTCTTCTGCCTCAGCCTCCTGAGTAGCTGGGATTACAGGCGCGCACCGGCTAATTTTTGTATTTTTAGCAGAGACGGGTTTCACCATGTTGGTCAGGCTGGTCCTCGAACTCCTGACATCGTGATCCGCCCGCCTCAGCCTCCCAAAGTGCTGGGATTACAGGCGTGAGCCACCCCACCGCGCCCAGCATCCTTTCCTTTATTTTCAGGAGAGACGTGGACAGTGCCCTACTTTTCTCGCCCCTAGTTGAACCGCCCAGCTTTCCTGACCCCAGCCACCACCGGCGCGAGGCTTTAGACAAAGGCCTCTAAGCGGCCTCTTTCCCTAATCACGCCAGCAACCCCCAGGAGACTGTTTCGAGAGGCTGCTGAGTGTGAGAAGTTCGTGGCGTTTGAAGCAAATCCCCAGGAGCCGAAGAGTTCGGCCAACAAAGCAACCCTCCCGTCTCCCTCCTCTCCTCTTCCTTTGTGGGGAAACGCACTGAAAGTCTGAAACGAAGGTGGCGCGGCCGGGACAAACCTGACCCTTCGACAGCCCCAGCCCCGCGCCCGCCCTCGCTCGGAGGGGAGGAGCGACGGCCACAATGGATCCTCCCGCAGGCTTTGTGCGCGCTCGGAATCCAGCTGTCGCCGCCCCGCAGAGCCCCCTGTCCCCGGAGGGCGCTCATTTCCGGGCCGCCCACCACCCGCGTAGCACAGGCTAGCTGCTGTCCCGGCAGAGCCTCCAGCCGTCCCGCCCGCTCCGTGGCCACCTGGCTCCAGTCACTCCCCGAAATGCCAGTCGACTTCACCGGGTACTGGAAGATGCTGGCCAACGAGAATTTCGAGGACTACCTGCGCGCGCTCGGTAAGCGCTGCCCGCCGCGCCCGGGGAGCTGCTCCAGGCCGCTCCCCAGAGCCCTCCCGAGCCGCAGCCCGCCCGCCGCGGCGAGCCGCTGTTCGGTGCTTCCGGACGCCTGAAAAGGCGTCCTCCGCTCCCAGGGCGGCCAGCAGGTTGCGGATTGGAAAATTCGGGGTTGTTAGGTTAACCGATGGCAAATGTCTGCTCGTTGGCCCTGGACGTGCGTAATTCCATTAGTAAAGCCGGGTTTGGTTTACTAGTTTTTGTTTTTAAACGGTTAACATAAGAGCAGGAAAGTTTGTTGGGGGTAGGGGAGGTACAGGCAGGCTGTGTGCTGAGACAGCCCGAGGCCAGCGGAAACCCTAAGTGTTCGCGGGCGGAGCGGGCTCCTGGGCTCCTCTACCTTGGGAACAGTTCTGTGAGTCTTCCTGCCAACTCTGCCGCTCTCTCTACCCGCAACCCCCCTGCCCCCGCAGACGTCAACGTTGCCTTGCGCAAAATAGCCAACTTGCTGAAGCCAGACAAAGAGATTGTGCAGGACGGTGACCATATGATCATCCGCACGCTGAGCACTTTTAGGAACTACATCATGGACTTCCAGGTTGGGAAGGAGTTTGAGGAGGATCTGACAGGCATTGATGACCGCAAGTGCATGGTGAGGATTCGCGTGCACCCGGTGTCTCCTGCCCGGGGGGCCTGACCAAGGGCTGGGCTAGTTCATCCGAGAGGGAGCAAGGGCCCTTGTGCTCTGAAGGTCTGAAAACACCTCCCACTCCCAGCCCCCATGGTGGGCAGCACCGACCCATGAAGCATCCTGCTCTCTCCACACTGGAAGGTGATGGTTATGAAGGCTGCCATGTGCTGTGTCTCCACTGCGTCCAGGCACTCTGCCGGGTGCTTTATGCACATGACTTCACCTAAGCCTCACACAACCTTTGAGGCAGATATGAACATGCCCATTTCACAGATGAAGAAACAGGCTCAAAGAGATGAAGTAACATGTCCAGAGTAGCACAGTTAGGGAACCTGGAGTTCAAAGCAAGTCTGTTGATGCTGTTCTCTGGCTCACTATGGGCTGGTGGAAGGAAAAGGCAAAGAAAGGAAAGAAAAAAGAAAAGCACGTAACCCCTTTGAAGTGTAAACTTTCTGTATGACCTAGTGTGAAGTCACTCCAGGAAGCCCGCGGGCACCTTGATCTCTGCTGGAAGCCCTCTGATCTGCCCATCCTTGCCCCAAAGCTGGGATTTGGCTTCTGGCCATCCCCTGCCCCACCCTGTCATCTAATGCCTGCTGAGCATTCTTTGAACTTTGCAGCTGACACCTAGTCAGTAAGTCAGTGCCCCAGCCCAGGCCTGAGGAAACAGCAATGGGGGAAGGGGAACTGCCAAGAGCTCCCCTCCCGCAAGGGTGGGAAGCTCCTGACCTAGGACACCCCAATTAGCACTGCAACAGCAGACTCCAGAAGGCCAGCCCCAGGCCTCCATCAACATTCTCTGGTTGCTGAGAGGTCAAGGTACTCTCCTTCTCCCTTCTATAGTCTTGGGTTCAGAACTGGCTTATGTTCATCCCAGAAGCTGCCTTGCTTATTGATGGGGTCCTCACCCACGCCCTCCCACAATCTACCAAGGGTCTTTACCACTGGTCTGCTATGTGTCCAGCACTGTGCTAGTCATCTGACAGCACAGCACAGTGAGGGAGGGATAAGTAACCCCATGTTATGCAGTGACTGAGGCTCAGAGAGAGGAAGAGACTTGTAAGAGATGAGACTTGTGTCCAAGGCCTTCTGATGTTGAAACTCACACTCCAGCTCTCTGCCAGCTTCTCTGCTGGTAGTCTGTGCAGAATCAAGATAGCTGAGGTCTGTTAGGATTGTAGTTGAAGGGATGCCCATGTCTGGGAATAGGTGTCTGGAGCCTGAATGACTCATCCCCCCACCTTGTTTATTCTTCTGAAGGCAGTCAGGACTGGTATCTGAGTCTGCTGTTTGGAATTATGAGGAAGAAGGGATCGTCAGCAGGGAGTGTCCTTGAAAGGACCACTAGTGGGAGAAAGCACCATTGTTGTAGGGAAATGTCAGGCTGTGCCTTTAAAAATCTCAAGGACTCTTAATCTGCAGGAAAGACTCACAATAGGGAAGGAGACCTTCAGATGGGATCTGCCTTTCTCATTACTACCCAAGGCCTGCTCCCTAGCACACCGCATGGAACTTTGCTCCTTAAGAATAATCCTTACCCCCACTCACTATCGTGGAACTCACAGATCACACTGAACCTTTATTTTGGGTCCACACAACTTTGGAATGTGCTGGCTTGTACTAATTGTCTTCAGTCTTTCCTTCCTTTCCTCATCCATTAACACATGAAACATTTATGGATCACCTAGTAATACCAGCAAATACAGTTCTCAGCGAGTGCTTACTATTGTGCCAGATGCTACTCAAACGTTACATTAACTGACTTAATCTTCACAACACCCTTTCCATCCTCATTTTACAGAAACGAAAACCACGGCAGGATTTCTTGCTGTGTGACCTTGGGGAGGTCCAGTCAACGCAGAGGGGGAATTTGCATTAACCGCTGCACTGAGCAAGCGGCTGTCCTCACGGGCTGCTCACCATGGCAGGCACAGGACAGCACGGCATGTCACAGGCCCTGATGTCCAGGAACGCAGTCTTTGCATGGAGGCAGGCACACCAACACTCACAACACAGTGTGGCAAAGAAAAGCCCAGGGGTGAGAGTGAGGGGACTGGGACTACCCAGAGAAGGGGATCCCAGAAGAACTTCTGAAAGAGGTGACTTCTGTGCTTCATTGTAAAATAAAGCGGGGAAGTGGAAGGGAGGGTTTTGGATACAAAGGAAAAGACAAGGGCCACCTTTTCTTCTCAATACAGTGTCGGTGTCAGCCGAGCGTCAAGCAGTAGTTGAGCAGACAGGGGAGACCAGCCACTGGACGAAGTCAGTGAAATCGGTCTAGGACACACAGTTCCTGTCACTGCCCCAGGACTCAGGAATACCCACTCTCAAGTAGACAGCCCTTCACTCACCTGTTGTGGCCCGTTGGGAGGTGGAACAGCCCCTCTGTTCTGCTCAAGCCTTCCTCCAGCCCCATGCAGTGCAGAGAAGCTGTTCTCTCTGGGCTGCCCGCTGGGTGGTGTGCAGCTTTAGACTTCGGGAAGGACATGGCTGGATAGGGGTGGGATGATAGAATTAGAGCAACTGTCAGGTCTGAGACTTGTGAGTGGAGGGGAGCTGGGTGCCCAGAGGCCACCCACTGAGCTCTCTGAGGGCCACTGGGGATGCTGGACAAGGTGGTTGCCAAAGGTAACTTTCACTGCTACCCCCTCTGCCTCACCCGGGGCACCCACCAGCCAGGAACAGTGACCCAGAGGAGTCTGTCCCCAGCATATTACAGGAGTCCTGTTCTCACTTGGGATCTTTCATTCATCTACTGTTTTCATTCCTCTCTGGACCCCACAAGCGTCTCATGGTGCTTCCGCTATCTGCAACCCCTGTGTCAATGAGACAAATCCCACACGCTTCCTGCCCTCACGGAGTTCAGTGTGAGGAGGAGGTGGACTGAAGCGGCCGGGCACGATGTAGCTGACAGTGTGCTGATACGGGCAGAGAAGCACTCCCTGCTCGGTCTGAGAGGTCAGGGAAGGTTCCCACAGGAAGTGGAGTCTGAACTGTGGCTTAAAGGATAGACAGGAAGTAGCCAGGCAAACAGAAAAGGGTTGAGAGAAAGGCCAAGGCCAAGAGCTGTCCCACACCAGGGCCTGGGCTTGGCCCTGGGGTCACAGAGGCAACAAGGCCTTCGGGACACCCAGGCCAGTGGAGGGGACGGGCACATCTTCAGGCCGTTACAGGCCAATGCATGATGGGAGCATGGTGGGCTGAGGAGCACACAGCTGGGAGTGGGAAAGCAGTGGCCAGGGAAAGTCCCAGAGGAAGTGACAGCTGAGAGGGGCCCTAAAGGACTAATTAGAGCAGATGTGGAGAATAGAATAAGAGCTTTCCAATAAGAGGGAACCACGTAGACAAAGGCTCAGGCCTGGCTGGGAGGGAGTTTCAGAGGTGAGAGAGGAGCAGTCTGCAGACTTCCGCGTGGCTGGAGGGCAAGACGCGGCTGGGAGAAAAGAGAGCCAGGAGAAGCTGACTGGGAGACTTGATGTGACCCTGACAGGCCTCTGTGAGCCCTTGCTGGGAGAGGTGTGGCCAGGCTGACATCCCTCCCCAAAGGGCAGAGGCTCACTCTGGCTCGGAGATCTCCGTTCCTGCCCCTTTTCCATGGGAACCTTATCTGTATTCTAGAACCGCAGCCAGAGGGTGAAACCCAGCCTGCAGATGTGTTTTGTTTGGCCTGTGCAATGTTTGAAAAACTTCAGAGTCAGTTGCCAATGACTGCCAAAGATTGTCAGATTTCAGAGAAAAATCTATATTTCTGGCTGTTCTTAACAAAAACAACAAGAAAAGGAAGGGCCCTGGAAATACTGGGCCCTCGTTTATTCCTGCACCGCATGCATCCCTGGAATATGTATGCTGCAGCTGCACCCTTTAGATGCTACATTTTCTAGTTTACCGCAGTCTTCAGCCCATCCTGTTACCTGAAGTCAAGGATCAAATGGCCATATGTCGCTGTTTGCACTGTGGGTTCCTTTAGAGCTGTGGGTCCCAAAGCAGAGGCAACAGGGAGCCTCTTAGAAATACAAATCCCCTGACCACGCCCCTGGCCTACTGAATCCGCAACCCTGGGAGTGGGGCCAGCTGTGTGACAATAAGCCCTCCAGGTGATTCTGATGCAACTAAAGCTTAAGAATCGCTGCTCTGGAGTAAAGAAACACACTCTATTCCTGTGTCTCTATTAAAAAAACGGAAAAACTGTAAAATTAAGTGCAGAGGGCCATGGACATGGAGAGGGCTGGTTTGGCCCAACACCTGAGACCTATGGACATTGCGTTTCAAGCCCAGAACCACCTGAAATAGCTCTGTGTTCTCTCCCCAGGTGGAGGGGTGGAGGGACTCAGATCTGGGCGGCTGTGCCTCGCTAGGCTCCCATTTCCAGTCTGATCTAATCAGATTTTATGTAACAGCAAACAGCAGGCGCTATTTTGGTAGAGATGTACAAAGGCTGGGCTCGGCTGAACAGACACAGGGCTTTTCTCCATTGCTTCCTGCACGCCTTTGTCCACCAGAACGTGCCATCAGGCCTGGCGAGGAACCAGCAGCGTTTGTTGAGTATAGCACATATGTGCCTTGGCAGGGTGGGAGCTCTTGAGAAAGAAAGGTACTCCGACTTCGGGTAGCGTTTTCTCACTCCTGAGCAAGGGACTGTCTCAGAATGATTTGGTTCTTTGTCTCGAAGTCCCCCCAGCATGAGCAGCTTTTGTGAGGGAAGACTAAGCCTCAGCCAGGAATCACAGCCATGAGCCTGGCCCTGTGGGGGTGGCAGAGGGGCCGTTTGTCATCCCCATGTCCAGGTCAGGTTTTTCCTGGAAGAGATGGCTTTGTTCACTCAGGGAACTGGCACCTCCCCCCGTGGCCGGAGCCTCAACTTCATATCCAGCCTTGAACTTAGGATGACCCCTCCACAGGGCCTGCCTTCTGCTCCCAACCCTCCGCCCCTCTGTCGCTTTCTTTGTTTTTATTATAAAAGG